CGCGCTGCGGCCGGCGCACCGCACTGATCCGAAGGCAGGAGCCAGGTGCTTCTCCTGGTCTCCCATGGGGTGCAGGGCCCAAGGACTTGGGCCATCCTCCACTGCACTCCCTGGCCACAGCAGAGAGCTGGCCTGGAAGAAGGGCAACCGGGACAGAATCCGGCACCCCGACCGGGACTAGAACCCGATGTGCTGGCACCACAAGGCGGAGGATTAGCCTAGTGAGCCGCGGCGCTGGCCCCTATAATGCAAATTTAAAATATGTTATCTCAAAAACTAAAAAAAGAAAGGGAAAAGGAAGGAGGGTGGGGTGGGGAGGGGGAGGGAGGAAGGGAATATCGTTATGTAAAATCCAGAATGAATTTCTTTCATCAAAAGGTAGTTTATACCTGTATGGAATAAATTAATTAAACCATCTACAGGTAGAGGATTGAAAACAGATTTTGAAAACACAACATTTGTTTGTTTCTGGATACAAATTGCAAATAAAAATGTTGAGCTTGCTTAAAAAATTTAAACAGACTTGTCCTGTGTTTCCCATACCTCACCTCAGCCACTAAGTAGAAATGTCCAAGTTGTTTTAATACTATAAATAAAATTCTCACTCACTAAACCTTTGTCACATGCCAGATACTATTCTAAGCATTTCATATATTCTTAACCTATTTATACAACAGTCCTGATGGGTAGGTAGTGTCATCTCCATCTTATGAATAGTAGAACACAGGCAAGGAACACTTCATTCTGGATGGTAGAGCTGGACTTCAGCCCAGCTAGTTCTGGGTGATAGACCAGGCTTGTCTATTAGCTATTAAGGCATATAAATATGAGTTTTAGGTAGAGGTTTTACTAAATCTTTAGCCTTAATCTGATAACAAGGAAACAGTTGGCCTTGACACTTAAAAATGTCAATGATATGACAGACAAAGAAGGAGAAGGAGAAGGTGATGAGTGGAGGCGGAAGAAGATGAGGAGGAGGAGGAGGAAGAGAAGAAGGAGGAAAATCATTCTAGGGATGTGGCAACTAAATATAAATCACTGTTCATGATTACATCTTAGATGTAAAAGACAAAGCTATGAACAGCATTACTGGGAATTTGGGAAATTCAAATATGAACCACAGATTGGGTAATAATGTTAAATTTCTCAAGAATGTTTTTATTTTGGTTATATGAAAGTATGTCTTTATTCTTAAGTAATACTTGATGAAGAATATAGGGTGGAATGTCATGATGGCAGCAAGCTACTATCAAATAGTTCAAGAAAAAAATATATGTGAGAAAGAGATAGAAAATGTTAAAAATTGGAAAACTACATAAAGGGTATATGATAGTAATCACACTATTTTTAAAGCTTTTTTTCTAGGTTTGAAATTTCTAGAGAAAAAGGAAAAGGAGGGCCGGTGCTGCAGCTCACTTGGTTAATCCTCTGCTTGTGGTGCCGGCATCCCACATGGGCTCTGGGTTCTAGTCCCAGTTGCCCCTATTCCAGTCCAGCTCTCTGCTGTGGCCCAGGAGGGCAGTGGAGGGTGGCCCAAGTGCTTGGGCCCTTGGGCCCCCTGCACCCGCATGGGAGACCAGGAGGAAGCACCTGGCTCCTGGCTTCAGATTGGCATAACTTTGGCCATTGCGGCCATTTGGGGAGTGAACCAACGGAAGGAAGACCTTTTTCTCTGTCTCTCTCTCTCACTAACTCTGTCAACTAAAAAAAATACAATTAAAAAACAAAAGGAAAATAGCTTTATCTCAGAACAAGAGCCACCCACGGATACAGCCAAGGCATCTGCCTGGACCACCCCAAATGGTGCTAAAGAAGAGAAATGTGGGGCTGGCGCTGTGGTGCAATGGGTTAAAGCCCCAGTCTGCAGTGCCAGTATCCCATATGGGTGCCAGTCTGAGTTCCAGCTGCCCTACTTATGATCCAGCTCTCTGCTGTGACTTGGGAAAGCAGTAGAAGATGGCCCAAATGCTTGGGCCCCTGCACCCATGTGGGAGACCCAGAAGAAGCTCTTGGCTCCTGGCTTTGGATCAGCCCAGTTCCAGTCATTGTGGCTATTTGAGGAGTGAACCAACGGATGGAATACCTCTCTCTCTCTCTCTCTCTGCCTCTGCCTTTGTCTCTGTAACTCTGCCTTTCAAATAAATAGATAAATCTTTAAAAATAAAAAAGAAATGTATTTGGGTTGGAATCCTCAGTCAAGCTTCACGATCTGTAGAGAGGTGTTATGTGTGGTACATGATATATTAAAGCTTATTTAGTAGTGTTTTTTCCATTAGTACTAGGTATTATATATGTCAGTATATATTTTCCAAAAAATATTTCAAGGTTTCATATCCAGTAGAAAATAAATAATGCCAATTATAAAGCCTTTTATAAAAGGTCTAATTTTAATCTTGCAATGTTCTATTTTTGTCATCAACAAATAAGACATATTTAGGAGCCTACCTTTCTTATTTATTCAGCAAGAATGGATCAATTATTCACTGTGTTCCAGAGACTGACCTAGGTGCTGGGGATAAACCTGTAGCCAAACCAAGCTCCTGAATTCATGATCTAACCTTCAGGTGGGAGAGAGAAGACAGTAAATGCAATAGCTTAGTAAACTGCAGAGAATGTTAGAAAGTGCTCCTTGCCAATGAAAAGTGGAAAAACAGTAGCACCATGGGAAATTTGGACAGGTGGTTGAAGAGAAGAGGATTTGCAATTTTAAATTGGAGTTCCTGGTTAGGCGTCATTCAAATATGACCTTAAGGCACTGGAAGGCCAGTGGAAGAGAACAAAGAAGAAAGACCCTCGGATCAGAGCCTGCTCACAGTGAGGCTGGAGCTGAGTGAGCTAAAGGGAGGGAGTAGAGGGGTATCAGGGAGGGTACAGAGGACTTCAGAGATCATTGTGAAGGCTTTGGGATTCATCCTAAAAAAACAGGACATCATTTGATGAATTTGAGAAGTAACGTCATTGGAATCTTTCAAAGTATTAATCTTGTGGGGTGACAGAGGTGGGAGAAGTCTATCACAACATTTCAAGCAAGAGATGACAATGACTCAGCACATGCTAGAAGAGCTGGCCGTGGAGACACATCATCAGATTCTGGATATGTTTGGCAGCAGAACCAATAGGAAGGATTTACTGATAAATTAGATAATATGTTTGAAAGAGACAAGGGTGACTCAATGCTTTTGAACTGGACAGGTGAAATTGTCATCCACTAGGTAGGGAGACTGGGTAGAATAGATTTGATGGGAGGTCAAAGATTCAGTTTTGACATGCCATGCAAGTGTGTGCTGTCTGTTAAACACCTAGATAGTAATGTCATAAAGGCGGTTATATGTGGCAGTCTTGAGACTAGAGGGAGGTCAGGAGCAGGAATCTAAAATTAGTTGTGGGGAGGGATTTGGTGCAGTAAGCCAGTGGATGGTAGCACTCTCTCTATTTCTCACTCACTTTCTCTCTCTCTCTCCCTTTTCCCTAACCCCTTTCCCTCCCTCTCTGTCTTATTCCCTCTTTCCTACTACCTCTCTGAAACAAAAACAAACCAAAAAACCCCACAACAGGTCCTAATTGGCATATTGATGGTATTCAGAGCCAAGAGTGTGGATGGGATGACCAAGGCAGTGAGTGCGGAGAGAGTGGAGAGAATGCAGAAGGACTGTGCCCTCGCAATTATTCTGTTTCATGTGTTGAGATTTGTTATGTTTCTCATTGTGTTTAGAAAATTATTACACTGCACAAAATAAAAGGGAAAATTGACAATTATCTAAATTACTAAAGATAGTCAATCAAATCATTCAATTTGCAAAGCAGATTAATTTTCCTCAATTATCTGGTTTGATTTTCTACAAATGTCTACATTATTATTCAGATATCAGGACAGCTACATTTTGTGCTGCTCTATCCTTGTGTTATTTAATCCATGATATGTTAACCTTTAGAACAGTAAAGTTCAAAAATGCTTTCAAATGATTCTCTATGGGGGATGATCCTCATCCATGTTTATTTTATGAATTAAAGTCAAATGTTTTGTTGGAATATGAGAATTATTTCTTCTGATACCGATGACTTGACTGTTCTCATCTTGGTGATTTGACTTTTAAGTTATGCCCAAGCAAAATCCTGCTAATCAAGGACTCAGGAGGAAATATTGTCACCTGCGAAGATATATGAATGTATTTGTTGTTTTATCTAATGAAAACAACTGGCAAAGATAAGGAGTTTACTCAACTGCAAATAAGCCCATGTGGTGAATTCCTGTCATCAGCAAGGCTTCAGTTTTAATGTCAGAACTATTTTAATACTCTGATAATAGTTAATTGAGCAAATGTGGGCAAGCTCAGAAGTATTTTTCCTCGTAATGAACTGTGTCATGGTGCCGGACAATCTAGATAGTACATACATGTGACAAAGTGTGTTAGTATGGAATACCCACCTGAACCCAGTTTTTTTTAAAAATGGAGTTTATTGACTTATGTATTGGAAAATAGAGGCAGACCACTGGTTTTTGTTCTGTGTTTTTTGATAAAGGATCTATTTGGTTTTGTTCCTTTATTTTTCCCTGCCTCTCGGCTTTGCCATTCAAATTGCTGTCTTCAACTCTAAGCTGGCTGTTCTGCAGGCCTAGAGAGGCTGCCAAGAGCAGCTGGGCTGTTTGCTTTCTTGAAAATGCTCAGGGAAAAGGAATGTTCTTTAATTATCAGGCAAGTGATGTGAGCTCAGTGCCAATTGTTGTGGCCAGTAGAATGCCATGTGTTAATAGTTGGAAGGCTTCAGTTACCTGATCCCTGTGACAAAATCAAAGGGATTCCCTTGACTTGCTTACGTCTTTGAAGACATCAGTGCCCTTTGAAGCCCATAGCTGCAGAGCAGGGTGGGAATGGCATAGCTTTGGAGGAGATGGGCATCATGGCCTTCCTTGGACCTCACCACCAAATGATCCAAGCTCAGTAGACACAGTACTTGCATCAGTTGTTAAGACTGAGCTTCCTAACATTTTTCTCTTTCAGGGACTTTCTCCATTTCCCAGTGACAGAAAGCCAACAATATCCATTTGTGAAAGAGCTGGATCTAAAGCTTAGGAGACATAGGTGAGAAGTATTTATTTTTTCCTAAGCTACTAACCAATATAAACAGTTAAAGCCTTGTGGCATTTATGGACAATGTCTTGGTTTTTTTTCTGTTACCAGGACACAGAATAACATCTACATAAACACCATTTTTTATATGAACTCTTCTCTGTCACTGATGTTTGAATCAGTTTTTATGATAGCAGCTTATTTGAAGTACCATTATAAGGATGATTCCAACAGAGGCATCATATTTATGTCATAGTTTAATGGGGAGTTTCCAGCTACAGTTGATGAAGTGAACATGTGTGATAACCACAGCTTCCCGCCAAACCCATACTAAAATGAAATGAAAGGTGTCATTTAAGGCATAAATCCTCAAGGACAGAGAGAATAGGAAGAGACAATACTAACAACATGATGGAAACCAGGTAGGTAATGGACAGGCAGCTGACCATGAAAACTGAAGGCTGAGATAGAAGAAGCACCGAAGCAGTCTGATTTGAGTCGCTAAGTCCCAGAAGGCTCAGGAACTGGCAGTAAAAGGTATCTTTAATGTGAAGGTGTAGGTGGGACTGAGAACTGGGAAGTGTTGGTGAGGTTGTTAAAGCATCAGTGACATCCCCGACTGGGACTCTGTTACAATGCAGGTGGACAATTGCTGCCCTCCTCCATTCCTCTACATCATAATATAAAGAGAGGAGAAAAATTTTCTGGAGAGATGAACCAGAGGATCTCTGGACCTGGGGACACTGGCACAGCAAAGGGAGGGATAACTGCCTAAAACTAGAATGATCAGACAAATATCTATATAGTAGAAAGGGAAAACTCCAACTGCATTCCTTCATGCCACTCCCCAATGCCAGAAATCACACAGGATGTTGGAAATCCTTTTTCCGAGAAATCTAACTAGTCTAAGAGCCTGGACCTGCAAGTTCTGACAGCCAAGGATCCAGGAATGAAAAAGCCAAGGGAGGGGCCGACACTGTGGCTCACTTGGTTAATCTTCCACCTGCGGCACCAGCATCCCATATGGGCGCCAGGTTCTAGTCCCGGTTGCTCCTCTTCCAGTTCAGCATTCTGCTGTGGCCTGGGAAGGCAGTGGAGGATGGCTCAAGTGCTTGGGCCCCTGCACCTGCATGGGAGACCAGAAAGAAAGCACCTGGCTCTTGGCTTTGGATCGTAGCAGCGCGCTGGCCGAAACAGCCATTTGGGGGGGTGAACCAACAAAAGGAAGACCTTTCTCTCTGTCTCTCTCACTGTCCAACTCTGCCTGGCAAATAAAAAAATAAATAAAAAGCCAAGGGAAATTCCCTTAGAATGAAGTCCAAGTTTATTATGACCCCTGAAGGGTCACCTCCTCACAACTTCCAACAGTGCTTTAGTTCTCAATTATCAGACATTTGAGGGAAGTCTCTAAAACAGAGACAAAAAAACAGAAAAAGAGTTTTGGAGGAAATAGAAAACATAATGTGAAGAAAAAAGAAAGCTGTGAGGAAAGAACCAGCCTTGAAAATATAAAAATTATTATATTTATGAAGCAAGAATATGATGCTTAAAAAATTCAGAGACTATAATATAATCTGGACAATTGAAAATATCATAGAAATGAAAAAGAAAAAATAGTTCCAATAGAGTAGAACAATTTGACAAAGATAGAAAAAAGAAAATATTTTTCAAAATTAGAGAATAAATTCAGGAGTGCCTATATGCAAATCACTGAACTCTGGAAAGAGAAAACAAACCAACAGAAGGAGTGGAAATCATTAGAAAAGTCACAAAATTTCCTATTTCTAATTGTATGAGCCCACCAAGAAACTACTATAATGGATGAAAATAGATGTGCACTATGAGATATCACCATCGCGTTTAGTACTGGAGATACAGGGAGAATCATAAAGATTCCAAAGGGAATAAAGGGTGAGGATTAAGCCACAGGTATAGAACATCAGAATGGCATTTGAGTGAGCAATAGCAGCACTGGAAGTTAAAAGACAAAGGAATAATGTTTTAAAAATTCTGAGCATAAATGAATTCCAGCCTGGAATTTTATATTCTGCAAAACCACTATTCAGAGCAAGGATATTTTCTGATATGCAACACCTCAAAGGAATGACTTTTTTTTTTTTAGATTATTTATTTATTTAAGAGGTAGAGTTGCAGACAGTGAGAGGGAGAGACAGAGAAAGGTCTTCTGACCGCTGGTTTACTCCCTGAATGGCTGCAATGGCCGGAGCTGCGCCCATCTGAAGCTGGGATGCCAGGAGCTTCCTCCAGGTCTCCTATACGGGTGCAGGGGCTCAAGGACTTGGGCCATCTTCTACTGCTATCTCAGGCCATAGCAGAAAGCTGGATGGGAAGAGGAGCAGCTGGGGCCAGAACCGGTGCCCATATGGCATGCCGCCGACGCCGCAGGCGGAGGATTAACCAAGTGAGCCACAGCGCCCGCCCCCAGGAATGACTTTTATGACCCCTTTTTCCATAACTATCTAGGAGTTGTGATATACCAAAATAAGACAAGGGGAATGATATGGTATCTAGTACACAAAACAACAGGGAAGAAAGTCCTAGGATGCTAATGAAAAAAAGTCTTAGGCCATCAGCTGTGTGATAGAAGACAGAGTCCTTAGGGCAGGCTGGACCAGTCAGATAATCCTGGGAATATTCCTGATCTTGCCTTCTTTCAGAAAAGATTTGCATGTCAAGAGAACAAATTATGGATGAATTTGTAACAACCATTTAGAAAACAACACAAATGAAAAAATAGAATAATAACTCCAAAAAACCAAAATGTTCAAAACCGTAAATAAAATCATAACATACCATGTTCCTTATTTTGTTGATTTAAGATGTCATCAACCATGAGATGCACCAATATTGTATGTACCACCAAGAAAGAGAAACCTCTGCCACCAGACAGTGACAAAATAACATAATGTTGGTCCCAGATGGAATAGGAACCTGTCATATCAGTCTCCTGTTGCTTTGAAATTTCTTCCACTGTAGTAAGAGATTTATGTGTTTCTCTGTCTTTACTTGCATTTTCTCTGATAGGGAATCCTTTCCATAGACATTTTTACCAACATAAGACAGTTTCATCTACTCGTGGGTGTCTGTTCTAGGATTTCCCAAAACACTGGGTTATGTTTTGCAAGGAAATATTTAATTACTGTCATTCTTCCAATGACAAATATTTATTTTACTGCTGATAAATTTATGTACCACTGTTCTTTTTTTGTTTTGCCTTTGTACATAACCATTTGTTTTAATGACAATTTTTCCTGAAGGTATTTTATGTGGCACTTAAACTCAACATTTGTTTTCCTGCCAACCATGCGTGAACTCAGTGAAGTGAGTTATCAATAGCTTTGACCAAACTTGTGCAGATGCAATGATGATTATATGGCAATGACTGGATAACAGCGTTTGAAACACATCCTAGTTGTCAGACATGTTAAAATGTGGGTGGGGAGGAAAATCTTAAAATCAACTGAATAAAGTTGCTTCTCTATGATTAGGATAAACATAGTCAAAATATTTTAAACACTGAATATGAATTAACCATAAGTTAACCAGAAGTTAAGAGTACTGCAAAAAGTTGTGGAAAACAGAATTGAACGATAAGTTCTTTTTGATGCAAAAAAATTGAAATACATTCACTCTTCCCCACAAAAGAAAGACCAAGGCTCGCACCTGTTCTATGGATCGGCGGGTAACTGAAATCCCACAAAGTGCCTGGTAAAAGGCAGTTCCAGAAAGTGCTGTTGACAGTGAATGACTGTGGATGACCAGGGAGGGAAGGTCAAATGGTAGATTTCTATTATTTATAAGCCTGGATATGACTTGGAAGAAATTAAAATAATTGGATGTCTTTGCTGTTTCAGAAATACCTTCTGTTTATGAATAAGTTTTCTCAATGGCTTTTCTCTGGCTCATTCCAGCCATAAGTAATTTTTATCCACAGATACATAAACCAAGTGGAGAAAACAGAACCCTACCATGTTAATTTCATTAAGAGATGCATAAAATTTATATTTTGTGTTTAATAATTTATTTAAATTGTATTGTTTTGCTCAGTGTGTACATTTGAGTATTATACTGATAACTCAATCCAGAAGATATTTTAAATATGTACAAGTCTTATAGTCATTGAGAGCTTTTAAAAATTAATTCTCTCTCAACCTAGACATTTGTTTGAATACGAAATGTGATCAATAAAATACTTGAATATAAAAATTTGTTATATTAGGATAATACTCTATGGGGAAATGAAATTGAAATAATAATAAGAAAAATGAGTTTGTGTTTCAAATGTGTAATGATGGATATCAGAACACTATGATGGTTAAATCCCAGTGCATAAATCTAAAGTGTTCATTTAACCATTTTATTTCAAATTCTTGTAGACTAAAAATGATATTTATAACTGTTTAATCTTAAGGGAGAAATTTGACACATCAATTTAATGTATTGTGAGATGGTTGCAGTTTTTTGTTTATAAGTGCCCTAAAATAAATTTTAAAGGTTTGTGTATTGGTGACAAAAAAATTGAAATACATACATAGTTTTTGGTAATATGCATTTCCCATTGACTTTATGAACATCTTTTATATGCATGAATTTCAAAATATTTTACACCAAAATAAACTTACCTTTTATTTCCATTTTCCATGAACTTTTTGAAGTACTTTCATATTTCATGGTGATGAGTACAGAAGGTATATATACTTTTTATGGTCACATATGTGAAAAATATGTAAGTATACATGTTACATATGAAAATATATGTGGTATGTTTATTATATATGAAATTTACACACATATATGTATATGTGTGTATATACATATATGATGATGACAATGAGTTAGGCGGTGGGGAAGAAAAGCCAAATCTTTAATATCTAAGGTGTGGATATGATTGCGGATGCTAATCTTGCAATGCCATTCTATACAAGTGACCAGTTACTGAAAGATATTAACATAAAAAAGAAGCTAAAAGAATACAGAGAAGCTGCCTCTGG